GAGGAGGCTGTGTACTGGCAGGGGAAGACTTATGCATGTTGCTTCCCGGTTCGCTACGAGGGCTAGCCAGCTGCGGCAGCTGAAAGCGATAGGGAGCAAGCAGTGCTCGCACCTTAACACTAACATAATGCTGCCACTCTCGACTTATTTCACCACCCTGTGTGTGACTACATACACACACAGACACACACAAACATATATGGACACATTAGTGGAAATATTCTACTAAACCCTTGTGTAAGGGGTCCCCTCAGAGCCGAATAAAATCTTCTGATGTAAGCCAAATAAAATATTAAAAGTGACGTCCTTGTAGTAAAGAGGTTAAAGCCTCTCCTCAAGGTCCATCACAATGCCACATTTGTGGGTTACTGTGCACACTAACATATTGCCTCCGTGAACTAACTGATGTGTGTAGAAACCTCAGGTGAACATTGATTTTATTGACAGTGATACTTATTTTTAGGTGAAGTGATTAGAAATGCCTTAACCAAACCTAACCTAACCTTATCTAACCAAAGGCTACTTAACCTAACCTGACCTATATAACTTAACCCGACCAACTCTAACTTAACCTAACCCAACCCACTCCAACCTAACCTAACCTACATTTAGGTTTAGGGTATTTGATCACAAATTTAAACAAACGGGGGTGCCTAATCTTCAAGAGATTTGAAAATATGATAAAGTAGAAAGACGATGTATCTCTCCAATCATCCCTCAGGAATCTTCACCTCGAAACTCTCAAACTCGTTTCCTGACATTCTTCCTGAGGACAAGGTATTCTTGCGCTCCAGTAACTCACACAAGTTGACCTCATCAGTTAAGAGGAAAGTCAAAAGGTAAGAGAAACTCTCCCGCCAACTTGGCAAAGAGGTGGTGGCCTCCCACTAGCGTCGTATGTCGCTCTTATTGCACTCCAACTCTCGATCCCATCCCCTAACATTCCTCTCCTCACCCCACCCATCACAACTCTCCACAAATCTTCCATGGAGTCATATTCCAGTCCTGGAGTTCCATGGACTCATATTCCAGTCCTGGAGTTCCACGGAGGGACAGATATTTTGAGCGGAAATTTTAGCATCCACCACCATAGACAGGGATGTCGTCCCCTCATAGAAATTGAGTTTTGGTGCAGATTTCGCAGCTGTATGGAGGATAGGATCTTTCTTATCACAATTTGATTCAAATTTAATGACGAGACAAAATCTTATCCAGTTGTATTGCTTGATAAAGATTTGCAGAGCACAAAATTATGAGCACAAGAAGTGCGGTACAGAAAAAATTAAATATAGACGGCATTCCTAGTTATACAGTACTTTCAGGAAATAAAATTAAAGTAATATTATGATATGTAGATGTGCTTCTGATTTGCTTCACAAGTCAATATCGAAGGCGGAGAGGACGTTAACATCATTGCGCTAACAACCCAGTGGGCCCAATAGCGAATCTTCAATTTGAACACCGTGCTGGATTGATATCCGGCGTGAACCAGTATCAGTAATGTGACCATGTACCCACCGGCTTGTCACGAATATCCTGTCTCTCACAATTTCCAGAGCAGATGAAAGGGGCGGAAAAAAATTACTTGGGCAACTGTAATGGGAGATAGAAAGCTGAGAGAAATTTGACTGTATTTGAAAGAGATCTGGTACCATGAAAGAGAGGGGCGTGTAGGAACTGCGGCCTTAGATGTGAGAAACCTAAGACCTTAATGGCGTGGAAGTAATGAACCTGATGATGAAACCCTTCACTTCAGCCTTGGTAAAACTGAAGTCCTCAAGGGTAAGGGTCTAAAGGCTAGGGTAAAGAGGAAACTAAACCTCAATTAAAGATATCATGGGTCATTAACCGAGGGATAGGGAATAAGTGTTCTAAATAGGTAGAGCTTGGTTGCTATTGGCTGGAAAAGTTTGCCACTGATTGGACGAATCGAGGCCCTGGTACGGCAAAACATGTACGTATAAAATGCGATATTTGAGATTCTAAGGGGTGTAGGGAGGGAACTAGGGGAGAACAAGTGATAGTAAGATATCCATTAAGAAGGAACTTAATTAGAATAAAGAAAAGTGAACTGAGAATTTAATTAAGGGAGGGAGGCGGGGGAAGGGGGACTAACGAAGAAGGAAGTGGAGATTTTTGAAAGATGAAGAGCTTAGCCTAAAGAAGGATAAAAAATAAAGGAACCTTATGGTAAAAACGACTAGGACCTATAGGAACTAGGAATCAAGTCAAGAATACAGCAGAAAATTTACAATAAAAAAGGAACATAAAGAGTGTGAAAAAATTTAAAATATAAGAAAGAAAAGTTCTTGGCTCTAAGAGAATGGGAAATGGGACCCTAAAGAAGAGGAAATTTGATCACTGATGGAGGACAAGGTAGTTAAAGCTCGAAGAAGAGGGAACTAAGAACCAAGAGGAGAGTGAGACTGAGAGAGCTGGGTCTTGGGAGGAAGAGGAGCTGGAGGCTCACTGAGCTCCACCGTATGAGCTCTCGCCCATGTTTGCTCCAGCCGGGTGTTGACTCAGGCGTAGGATCATGGACAGCACTGAATACGACCTGCTGTTGTTACCTTCAAGGTGAACCATGATGAGAGGTGGGAACCGAGAGAGGGGAAGATCAAAAGGAGGGGAGGGAGTACAGAAAAGAAGATGGTGAGTAGTGCAACATGAGTTGATAGATGGGAAAAAGTTAATAAAAATGAGTGTATAGACGGTATAATGTTGACAAAACCGACCAGAGGATTAGATTATAAGGTGCGTGAGGAACAGAATATATGGACGAAGGTAAATAAAATGTAAATTATAAAGAACTAGAAGGACTGAGAAAACGGTGGTGCAGCAGTGAGTGTTCTCTGAGAATATAAGGCTGGAAGGGAGTGGGAGAGGAAGAAGACATTGATAATTGTGACAAGGGAAAGGTAGGAGAGGTAGAGATTAAGTGGAAAAGGAAGAGAGTTTTAGAGAAAAGAAGATGAGAGCATGGACGGTGGAGAAAAGGAATGGCATGGGAGCAGCCATTCAAAGATAGATGAGGCGAGAGAGAAACGGGAATTGAAGAAGCTTTGAACAGAGAAATACTATAAGACAGAAAACGAGGAGAAAAGTGGACTCGGAAAGAGTTATGATTAGAGAAACAGTGAAGGGAAAGGGGAAGAAGACCTTACGTACGCAAGAACATTAGAAAAAAGGGAGGAGGTGATGAGGGAGATGGAAGGAAGTAGAAACTGGGATGTTTGGCCAATGAAAGAAAGGGTGCAAATCATATCATGCTCTTTAAGAGGTGCTTGACCTTGAAGCACTGATACTCAACACATGTACACTCTTAAATAAGCAAAGGGTGAGGTGAAGCATTTCCCTGCTACTGTCTACTGTCTCAAATATCTATGTGAGGAAGATTTAAACTCTCGTGTTCAGTAAAATTATTCCTAGTTGAATGATAAAGAAGATATTCTTGCTAAAATAGGTAATATATTCATTACATTATGTTCATATCTAATGGGTTTAGGCATAACATTAACATAACCAGAATTCCAATAAAATTCTAATTGTTCTCGGCATTTCAAACTGATGTGTTCAGATAATTATTCATGCAGATCAAATTACAACTCACTATGAGTGAATAGCACCAGTACTAACTAAACTAATCTAACATAATTTTAACCTATTCCAACCAAGCCTTACCTATCTTAAGTTTGGGAAAGGTGTATTAATTTAAATAATTTTGATCAGATATTCACTAAATTCCGAGAAGTTAAATTAACAATAACAAAGAATTATATATATATGTATATGTGTATATATATATATATATATATATATATATATATATATATATATATATATATATATATATATATATATATATATATATATATATATATATATATATATATATATATATATATATATATATATATATATATATATATATATATATTTATATATGCAAGTAAATCACTGTAGGTGCGCGTGATCCTGGTATATGCTGATAACCACAAGGAAACAAGAAAACACGAAGTTCTCAAGCGCTTTCGTGTAATTCACATCTTCAGGGATGAGTACAAACTAAGGAGAAATACTTGACAAGGCTAATATATACAGAAGAGGAGAGTGAGGTCAAGTCCCTAGGGGACCGTAGGTGTCCACAATGGTCCGGTCATTAGGCAGTGACCCTACTAATCTTCATAAGCACAGCAGCTGTCCGTAGTCAGTTCATAGGGTAAAATGATCCAACCTTCTCACCTGGTTACAAATCTTCTTAATTACAAAATTATCCAGTTTGTACATACCATTACTCAAATTCATGTTGACGAATTCGGAATGTTTAATGATACTGGATTCTATAAAGGCATTATCCCAGTCAATGCAATGCTTATGACCTTGGGGTGATCGTAAGCCCGGACCTACGGCCTAGAAAACAGTGCGTTAATGTTCGAAATAAGGCAATCAGAGTATTAGGTGTTACAGCTAGAAGTATAAGTAATAAGAGTGCGGAGGTCATATTGCAATTATACCTTGCACTAGTTAGGCCGCACCTCGATTATGCTGTTCAGTTCTGGTGCCCTTATTATAGAATAGATATCAATTTACTGGAGTCGGTGCAGCGAAGAATGACGAAAATGATTCCGGGACTTAGAAACCTTCCATATCAAGATAGATTAAAGAAACTAAACTTGCATTCCGTAGAAAGACGAAGAGTGCGGGGAGATATGATAGAAGTATTTAAGTGGGTGGAAGAAATCAATAAAGGAGATATAGATAATGTTCTTATAATATCCGAGCAGGACAGGACTCTTAACAAAGGATTTAAGTTGGATAAGTTTAGGTTTAGGAGGGAGATAGGAAGGAACTGGTTCACAAATAAGGTGGTAGATGAGTGACACAAGCTTAGCAACTTTGTAGTAAGTGCTGGGATGCTGGAAAGTTTTAAAAGGAGGCTAAATAGCTTCATGGACGACAAGAGCTGCCATGCACAGGCCAACTGGCCTATTGCCGACTCATTATTTTCTTATGTTCTTATGGAAGTGTGCTGGGTGACTGTGTCCCCAAGGAGGAGAGCTGGTTGACTGTGTCTCCAGGGAGGAGAGCTGGTTGACTGTCTCCAGGGAGGAGAGCCGGGTGACTGTGTCTCCAGGGAGGAGAGCCGGGTGACTGTGTCTCCAAGGAGGAGAGCTGGTTGACTGTGTCTCCAAGGAGGAGAGCTGGTTGACTGTGTCTCCAGGGAGGAGAGCCGGGTGACTGTGTCTCCAAGGAGGAGAGCTGGTTGACTGTGTCTCCAGGGAGGAGAGCTGGTTCACTGTGTCTCTTGAGAGAAGAGCTGGTTGACTGTCTCCATGGAGGAGAGCTAGTTGACTGTGTCTCTTGGGAGGAGAGCTGGATGACTGTCTCCAGGAGGAGAGCTGGTTGACTGTGTCTCCAGGGAGGAGAGCTGGTTCACTGTGTCTCTTGAGAGAAGAGCTGGTTGACTGTCTCCATGGAGGAGAGCTAGTTGACTGTGTCTCTTGGGAGGCTGGTTGACTGTCTCCAGGAGGAGAGCTGGTTGACTGTGTCTCCAGGGAGGAGAGCTGGTTCACTGTGTCTCTTGAGAGAAGAGCTGGTTGACTGTCTCCATGGAGGAGAGCTAGTTGACTGTGTCTCTTGGGAGGAGAGCTAGTTGACTGTGTCTCTTGGGAGGAGAGCTGGTTGACTGTGTCTCCAGGAAGTAGAGCTGGTTGACTGTGCCTCCAGGAAGGAGAGCTGGTTGACTGTGTCTCCAGGAGGGAGAGTTGGTTGACTGTGTCTCCAGGGAGGAGAGCTGGTTGACTGTGTCTCCAGGAAGGAGAGCTGGTTGACTGTGCTTGACTGTGTCTCCAGACTGGAGAGAGCTGGTTGACTGTGTCTCTTGGGGAGGAGAGCTGGTTGACTGTGTCTCTTGGGAGGAGGCCCTGGTTGACTGTGTCTCAGGAAGTAGAGCTGGTTGACTGTGCCTCAGGAAGGAGAACTAGTTGACTGTGTCACTTGAAAGGAGAGCTAGTTGACTGTGTCTCAGGAGAGAGCTGTGACTCTCAGGGAGGGAGAGTTGGTTGACTGTGTCTCTTGAGGAGAGAGCTGGTTGACTGTGCTCAGGAAGGAGAGCTGGTTGACTGTGTCTCAGGAGAAGAGCTGGTTGACTGTGTCTCTTGAAGGAGAGGTTGACTGTGTCTCAGCTGGTTGACTGTGTCTCCAGGGAGGAGAGCTGGTTGACTGTGTCTCCAGGAAGGAGAGCTGGTTGACTGTGTCTCCAGGGAGAAGAGCTGGTTGACTGTGTCTCCACGAAGGAGAGCTGGTTGACTGTGTTTCCAGGAAGGAGAGCTGGTTAACTGTGTCTCTAGGGAGGAGAGCTGGTTGACTGTCTCCAGGGAGGAGAGCTGGTTGACTGTCTCCAGGGAGGAGAGCTGGTTGACAGTGCCTCCAGTGAGGAGTGTTGTCATCAACACACAACATTAAACCGTTTTCATTTATTTTGTGGAAAATTTTGGATTTTTCTTCAGCTACGTTTCAAAAATTCAATCACTGTTAATTTACTTCAAACTGATTGGAATCCGATTGCCTATAGAGCGTAAATTGGTTGCTAATTCACCCTATTGATGATAATCACGTCAACTTTTCTCGCCACATAATGAGTTCTCATTTTGGTTGCGTGTGTGTACGTCAGTGTTCATGTGTATGTTTCCCGGCGTAAGTGTCTACTCTCGTGTACGTGCGCGTATATGTAAACTCATAAAGATATTCACTCATTGAAATGAATGCACTGTCCATATGTATATAATTGTTGCTCTTCGTGTTTGAGGATGACCGGCCCCAAGGCCACCTAGGCGAGAATTTGTTTAAGGTGTAGAACCTGTCGCCATCCTCGACACTAGCTCCTACTTCCGCCCGAGATCCCTCGTCCGCGAATTGCTGTTCGACACCACAACCGCATACAGCCCATAACAGCACGTACTGATCGCTATACTGTAAGAACAGCAAGCGAGATGTCACGGGTTCGATTCCCGGGCCGGTGGAAGTTGTTTGGACATCCTTCCTAGCCCCCATTAGTCCCTGTTCACCTAGCAGTAAAGTAGGTACCTGGTGTAAATCGAAAGTTGCGAATTCGTATTCAGGGACAAGTTGTTGGAGCTTCCAATAACTTGATGACATAAAAACCATTGACTCTTCAGGCTTCTATGCCCTTGACTCTTCAGGCTTCTACGCCCTTAACTCATGAGACATAAAGACACTGTAAACGCTTCTGCGCTTCACCTTACACAAGGATGTAGGGGAGTGCCCAATAAAAAAAAAAACTACCCAAGAACACAATCCGCAAATCGACTAACATCCATATCCCCAATTACTGCTGGGTAGACAGAGGCAAAAGGCGTAAAGAAACTAGCCCATAGTTTCACCTGCCCAAGAATCGAACAAGGGACCACAGGTCACATACTTTGCATATAGAGCCCTAATATGTACATGGGCATTGATTCTGACTTTTCATGGGCAACAGGTTTCATCATCAATGATCTATGAGGCAAAATTCCATCACCTATGATATGTAAACTGATGAACAATTATTCATAACATAACTAAAACAAATGAAAGTAAAAAAAAAACATAATTATACAAATTTCGTATGAAACATCAAAAGCACATTGTAGCACTGAAGATTTAGACGCAATTCAAGATGCTAAATACGAATAAACCAAAGTTGCATAAAAACAAATTAAAAATAGAGGATACGAAAAGAAGCTTGGGTAAAATTAACATTTTGTGCAAGTGATGAAAGCTTGCAATTACGATCTTAATACAACTTGTGTATCTTAATAGATTCAGGTATCATGAAGTCATAATTACATATTATTTTGGTCAGTTATGGAAACAATCTTTAGGATGTAGCGGACTATCTGAATATTTCCATCAATAAATATGAAGGCGAAAACGTTGCGACTTTTTATCCTGATCAGACTGAGGGTCACCAAAAAACACACACACACACACACACACACACACACACACACACACACACACACACACACACACACACACACACACACACACATACACACACACACACACACACACACACGCACACACTAAAAGCCTTCCGTGAGTGTTTAGTATAACAATCGGACCATCTATTCTCCCTTATATCTTACCTGAAGTACACACCCACTTCCTCCTCCTCCCCCAGCCGCCGTCCACGTATCTCCTCATGTTTACCATAACTTATAGTCTGTCGATTCCTCTATTCTTGTGTGCCAAAGTTTACATTTACACTCTCTCCCCATCTCCCCATCCACCTACAAAACTTTGCCCTCCAGAATCTCTTAGATGTAATATATCTCTTACGTCTCTTTGGCTGTAATGGAAACGGCTGAACCTTCCTGCTTGATAAATTTCCTGAACGATGAGAAGAACATAATGCTTTTATCATTTCGAATTGCAATTTGTCTCGGATAAATGTTCTTTTATTTAGCCGACGTTTCTCTACCTATTTCAAGTATTTTATTCTCTTCCCAATTTGACACTCCTTACATATCCTCTCTCTCTCTCCAAAAAAAAAAAATCGTAATGTCAACTCTACGCCAAACTTTCAGATTTTGTTTTTTAAATGTTTTTGTCTTTTTGTCATGTTAATTTAATAGAATAAAGAAAATATGTATTTCTTTGGGTCTTTCTGTTGCTATGCTCATCGTTATCTCCAGCTTTCTATTCCAATTTATGTCTTTTATATTTTAGTCTTTATAATAAATAAACTTTTCCTTACTATGAAAATTTCACTATAGTGTTCTCTCCTTTACTTCTTCCTCCTCGCCGCACACATTTTCCCTCTTAAACAAAATACATAGCACCCAACTTTCACCATACCTTATTTTCTCTACCTCGTCTTTCTTCTTGGAACTAATTCAACTTTCTCCTCACTGCTGCTGAAGGTTTTCTTTATTCTTGTCTTAATTTTTTCATCATTAGAAATAATTATTATTTATTTTAAACTTTCTATTTGATTATCCTTTTCATCTATTTCTTCCTCTTCCACGGTTTCCTTCTTCGGTTTTGCGGACTTCTTCTTTTGCAATTATTTCTTTAGTTTATATTTTCTCCAGTGTCTTCTCTTTCTACTAAAATATATAGAAAGGAAATTCTACCATCCAATAGATATAGGAGAACTATTTCGGCGTACTTGTGAATTAATGTAAAAATAAATAAAAACGTAGACAGGTTAAAAGCAAAGTGTAGGGTAGTACAGTAGTCCCCCCTAGACTATTTTAAAGATGTAGTTATATCTTACACTTGTGCGTCTTGATCTTCATTCTTAAAAAATCTCTCTTCACCAACTTGAATTTTTTCGGCAGTAACAGCAATCTTTTCTTGGTTATTTTTTACCTTACGGTTATCTACTAAAGAAAATAAAACGCCCAGAGAAAAATACTTTCACTGGTTCCTCGTTCTTCGCCCGTCTGGATTTAATCAATAGCCAGCTCCAAAAGACATTATTTATTTGTTCTCATCCTCACTGGTCGACTCTTTACAGATGTCAGAAGCAGAGGAAGTCAAGGAAAATACCGATATCAAGAGGAGCCATCTAGGCTGAAAATTATGCGGCTAAGAGAAGACAAAAACGTATGGTGATGAGGGAAGGGGAGAGGCCTTATCTAGTGCACCACTCACGGCGGCTGCCCTTCTCCTGGGACGCCCTGCTCCACACACCAGAGGGAAAAGGAGAACCTACTCTTTGTAGGGTGAAAACTCGCTTTCGCCCTCTCATCTTCTTCTATTCCTTCCCGTTTTTACGTCCTCTATTCTTCCTTTCCCCCCTTTCTTTTGTCTTGTGTTCGCTTTCTGCCCCGCCTTTCTACTTTATAGGACCCACGTTCACTTTCTATTTCTTCTCTCCTTCCACATTACTTTTCCTTATTTGTTTCAATCTTATTTCTTTCTCTCTCCATCGTCTCTCCACTTCTCTTACCTCACCCCCTCGTGTCCCCTCGGAAAAACTCTCCTGACCTCGTCACCCTAAGGTCCCCTCCCACGTAAATTGTTGAAACTTGAATCGCCCAGATTTGCTAATCACGAGCGACACTCAGTGAGGAGCCACATACTCTAAGAATCCAATCAACGCGGCCACCACTGCTGAGAGCTGAAGGTAAAAGGGGAGAGAAAAGTCCGCAAGGACCACAGGAGAAAGAGTCAAGGCTCCCGCAACGAGAGAGAGAGAGAGAGAGAGAGAGAGAGAGAGAGAGAGAGAGAGAGAGAGAAAAGAAGTTAGGAAAAACCAACTTTTTGATGAGGTAAAAGTTACAGATGAAAGAATCGCTTCATTAGGTATATGAAACATCCTCATTGCTGCCCTCAGATTTTTCTAGCCGGTCATTCAGGTGGAGTTTGAGTGTGTGTGTGTGTGTGTGTGTGTGTGTGAGCCAGAGTCCTCCTAAGCAGACTCCTTCCTGAGGCGGAAAACTTCCAACCATAATTTCAATGTGGTTTTATACCATCACGTGGCACCACTGACATGATCTTTGCTGTCCGCCAGATACAGGAAAAGTGCAGAGAATAGCGTCGTGACCTGTACATGTCTTTCATCGACCTCACCAAGGCCTTCGAATCGGTCAACAGGGAAGCCCTCTTGGTGGACCCTCAGCCGTTTTGGGTGCCAACCAAAATTCATCGCCATTGTGAGGCAACTCCACGATAGCATGAACGGCAGTATCCAGCACAACGGCACTCAGTCTGAGTTCTTTTCCATCCAAACAGGGGCTAAACAAGGGTGTGTACTCGCAACCATTCTCTTTTCAATTTTCTTGGCTGCCTTCCTTACTCGTGCCAGTGCTAATTTAGCTGGCTGGGTGGACATCGATTACCGGGTGAAGGGGAGGTCTATTCAACATAAGACGAGCCAGGCAAGAACAAAGGTGTCGGCAGCTTCGATTACTGAACTTCAGTATGCAGACGACCTCACCCTTGTTGATCACACTGAACACGGCCTACAGGAGATCCTAAACACCTACGCAGATGCGTAAGCGCACTTCGGCCTTGAAGTGAATGTACGTAAGACTCAAATTCTCTTTCAACCTGCCCCAGGTTCAGACACACCTCACCATTAATCCAGCTTAACGGTACTACCCTGTCTAATGTTACCCACTTTCGGTATCTCGGCTCCCACCTGTCCACCACCCTAACATTGATGAAGAGATTCAACACCGGATCAGATGTGGGTCTCAAGCCTTAGGCGGACTCTGAAACCGTTTCTTCAGCTGTAGGGAGCTGAAATTATTCTACAAAGCTGCATGTATATCGAGCAGTGGTCCTGCCCACCCTGCTATATGGCAGTGAGACATGGGTCAAATAGAGGAATTACCTCAAGACACTTGAAAACTTTCACCAACGTAGTCTACGATCCCTTCTCCGAGTTTGCTGGGAAGACAAGAGAACATATGCCAGTATCCTTTCTGAAACC